CCCCCTCCACCCCCACTCGCGAGAATCCTAGTCCTACTCTTGCCGTACTAACCTCTGTGACTGGGCGGGTTGCCTCCTTTCAGGCGTAGAGCGCAGGCGCATATTGCGACGAAACGGGACGAAAGCGTCAGAATTAGTTAGCCAGACTCCATACTTGAGACCTTACTTTTGGCACTGGTGTTTCGTGTGGTTTCATGTGAGTTTTCTTTTGAACATTATCTTGTTTCGACGCTTTTCCGCCTTTAAATTAATTACTGCATCGGTGCTGGAAAAGGTCCTAATTTTATTTATCTTCTTCCCTTGTTGTCAGACCCTCATCGTTATTTTCATTTTTTTTTTATGAAGGTTAAGAAATAACAGCTGAGATATTTTACTGAATTGCACAAATTTATTGTTTTGTATTTGGTACTATTCTCGAAGAGGAGATTTTGCTTACAGTTGAAACTGCTGGAGCAAACATTTTGCGGCCTAGCATTCTTGTTTTAACATAGTATCTCTATTTCTGTTCTCAGTTCTGCTTATCATGGCTTCACGAGCACCAGCAGGTGAAAATTTGCCCGTGTACAAACTTGTTGTTGTGGGCGATGGTGGTGTGGGGAAAAGTGCCATTACCATTCAGTTCTTCCAAAAGCTTTTTGTTACTGATTATGATCCTACAATAGAAGACAGCTACATACAGCATACTGAAGTCGATGGTATTTGGTGTGTGTTGGATGGTAAGTTTTGTGATCCATTAAAGCGACGCAATCATCTTTTGTTTCACACTCTTTTCTTCTTGCTGTAGACAATTTAACAATTATTTTCCATTTATTATAGTTCTTGACACTGCTGGACAAGAAGAATTTAGCGCTATGAGGGAACAATATATGCGTAAAGGTGATGGTTTTCTGCTTGTGTATTCTGTAACTGATGTTCAAAGTTATGAAAACATTGTGAACTTTCACACACAAATCTTACGTGTCAAAGACAGGTACAGTACACATAAAACTCTTATACCTTCCATTGATTCAAAATATTTCAGCATTTCAATCTGTTTTTATTTTTATCAGGGATTCATATCCAATGCTTCTAGTGGCTAACAAAGTTGATCTAGTTCATCATCGTAAAATTCCTGAGGAAAGTGGAAGAGATCTTGCTCTTCGACTTGGCATACCTTACATTGAAACAAGTGCTAAGGATCCTCCACTAAACGTTGATGCTGCTTTCCATGAGGTACGTGTTTCATCTTGCTTTTTAAATTCAAGCGCATATGCAGGTCATGACCACCTACAAATGCCCTTAATAAGACACCTGTGAAAAGTCAAAAAGCTTGCAAGTCCTGAGTCTGTACTCAAGATTTTTTTAACCAATTCAATCTGGTTTGTTTTTCTCAGGTGGTGCGGACCATCAGGAATCAACCAATTGCGGAACAAGTCAAATATCGTAGAAGGCGTCCAAATAAATGTGTTGTAATGTGAGTGCTAGACTTGTCAGCCGAAAAGCAGATGAGTTGTGTTTCTGGAAAGTCCACTTTGAAATGGAAATTAATCTTTTAAATAACCATCATGTAACTGTCTTAATGTTTATATTAAGTAGTTGCTTGCCTAATCATATTGTCCTATAAGTAAGGTGCAACACATGGTTGTTTTGTTGGTCTCAGTGATTTACTTTCTTGCTGCTATTAATTTTGTCTTTCTATTGAAAGACATTGTATGCCTAGCAAGATAGATGAAAGATTGTGAATTGTACTCTTGTGTATCTGCACATGATTTTTAAAATTCGATGAGAGGTATTTTATGCATTTATAGCAAGAGATGTTATATCTAGATTGTAAAGAAAGAGACACTGTAGGGGGAACTTGTGGCTTTCAATGTGCTATACTTATACAAAAAGTACAGTAGCATAGCTGATTGTTGTGACTCATCAGCAGACTAATTTAAAAATTAATCAATGCTCACTTAGAAGACGATATTGAAAATATCTATTTTCATACTGATGTTGGTATTAATTCTTAAATCAAATTTTTGACCTCATAATGATGCATTTAAATAGTAACATATTGACAGGGATTTTGAAACAAACACTAGATTAGAGATACAGTATTTGTGATGCTCTGATTTTTATTTACAACAGTACTGTTTGCACTTTGTGTATGATCTGTTTAACCCAAGTAACAGAGAGAGGTTCATCACTGAGACACTAGTTTTTGTGACGTGTTTCATTATACGAAAAGTTAATGTCATTGTGACCTCAGAGTGATGTAAATGACATCACGTTTAGTAAACTGAATTACGTCACAACAACTAGTGTGGAAATGACGTCAAAATCACATCATTTTGACACATTCATGACAAAGCGCAGTTACTTGGGGATGCTTATTATTATTAATATGCATGTGCTTTGGGCCTGCTCCATATTTGACTGTTGTTTTGTACAGTTAATAGAGATCATAATCTTAGGTACCATGAAACTAGTCAAAAAATATGTGGTAGTGCTAGTATGTGAAGGTAGTAGCAATCACCGGCACACATATTGGATCAATCAAGTTTATACATTTGTGCAATTTTTTCCAAGAGGTGCTAATTGTGTATCATGTTTATTATTAGTAAGAGATTTGTCTTAGATGAGATGGTTGAAAAACTATTTTAGATAGTGTAGTTTTAGTAATTTTGTATCCAACTAAAGATTCATATTTTTTTTTCTACTGTTTAGTTTTACTTTAAAATATTGACTTGATTTTAATAAGAAATTTCACTGTTTATTTTAAGTGTGAATTTGTTAAGACATCATGCCATTTTACACTACTATAGTCTGTTTTTGGTACTTTGATGATAACTAGTGGATTTTGGTGCCAAGTCTTTTTGTTTCAACTATTCTTGACAGAGACCATTCAATATGTTTTCTATAGCAAACCTTTCCAGAATTTGGGACTTGGAAAGCAATTTGTCTGAACATGTGATATATTGTAACATAAGCCATTGCCATTACATCAGTATTACATTTACATTTGCCTGATGGAAATGTTCAATTCACTGCCGTCTGACTAGTTACATCTCCAATCAGCTTGAATGCTGAGTAAATTTTGTGCATTTCCTTCGCTGATTTTCTTTTTTTCTGCACAATTAGGCTTTCACCAAAAGCAATGGTACGCCATGCTCATTATGTACTGAAATTGATGGTTGTGTGGTTCTTACAATCGGGCTCAATATTTTCTTTCTGTGAATCCTAATTTTCAACAAACTAATCATTCTTTTTTGTTTTTTGAATTACCTTTATATTTGTTCATCCAAAATGGGAATGGACATAATGTGTGTGTGTTGTTCCATGATACATAATGCCAAACCAAATACCTATTTATTTACTTATTTATCTACATATTCATTAGGGTATTAATGTTTTATGTAGGAGTTGTATCATTATCATCTACTGTACCTACATTATTTATCATTGTTAGAAGGTTCATTTTCATTTTTTATAGTTTAAAGGCTGTGCTAACTTATTGTTTTTGTGCTCTTATGTCAAGTCTTACCACTCCATGATGCAGGAATGGCCTGTTATAATTTTTGGACAAATTTGCGCTTGTGATCTATTGCTTTAGTTGCCTTTAAATGTTTACTAGAGCCTGCTAACATGCTGTGGAGGGTAATTAATAAAGTGTTCTGAAACCTGAATTGTCTATGAACTTTCTTTACTCAAAAATGGCGCTGGAATTGGATGTTATCAAAGAAGTAGAGTTTCAAACAATGCAGTCTGTGTTTATTTGAAAAAAATTTCAACTATGTGAGGAAAAGAATTAATGAAACAGAGAATAAGGAATTACTGATAATTGTCAGTCCTAATAATGGTTGGAGACAGAATTTTGCCCTACACATCCAATACTGCCTACGAACGGAACTTCTTGAAAAGCGGATGTTTAATTGAAGCAAGATATGCTTTCCTGTATTCATGATACACAGCATCATCACCACCTGACATAGAACTCATATTGCCTACCCGCCGTGAGCCCTACACAAGAAAAACAGAAAATTAGATTGAACTACCAATATTTTACCGTGCTTTCTAGTGGTAAACAAGATTAAAATTAATGAAATACTTACTGGTCTCTGTGGGTTTTCTCCTGGAACTCTTTCTTCTTCAGCATCCATATCATTAGCAGCCAATACCTGCTGCAGTAATTGACCCTGGTCTTCTCGTGTTCCATAGAACAAATCTGACTCCTGTCCAGGGCAACAAAACAGGAGGGAGTGTATGTTTCAAATGAATCCAGAAGATTAAAACTAGATGATCAAGTGCAAATAAGATCTTACATCTTCCATTCCAGCCAATCGGGTGATTACTTTATAGGCATAACCTTGATTGATCAAGAACCGTTGTCGCTTGCGAGAGTAACTCATTTCTAGAGTATCCTGAGACACCAAAGTGTAGAAGAATGCATTATATTCTTCGGCAATAGCACCTGTTAAAAATAATTCAAATAACATTAATAATTTGAATTTGTAAAAATCTAAATTTTTAGGGAAAGGCAGAACATATCAAATATTTTTTAACCTTTCTTAGCTCGTAGGATTCGACCCAGCCTCTGAGCTTCTTGTCTTCTCGAGCCACCATGAGAAGAGATTTGGATTAGAACGTTGGCTTCAGGAAGGTCAAAAGAGGTATCAGCAACTTTACTGACAAAAATTGTGTTGACTTTAGGGTTGAATTTGAAATTCTGAAGAATCTGGATTCTTTCATTCTAAAAAGCAAGAAATACAATTATGATTTTCCATTTGGACTGTTGCAAGTAATTTCAATATGTACTGAATATAAAAGATAGAATGGATTTTGAACCTGTGATGTGGGACCATGGATATAAGGTTTGTTCATTTTAATTGCATAGTGTTTTAAGGCAAAAACGTTATCTGAAAAGACAATTGTTTTGTCTCCACGTCTCTCATGGTACCTTATAAGGAATTGAGTGGCACGGAACTTGCTGGGATTCATAACATACAACAACTAAAAGGAGGAAAAGAAAATTGTTAAGAAAATAACACGAAGAGATTTTTAAACTTCTCAAACATTGAAAATATGAGATACATCTTGATGTACTGGTGCACCAGTGATGCTGACTTACCAATTTTTTACTAGTTTTGCACAAAAGATATTCTCTATAGAATTCAGGTGTCATTGGACACCATACTTCAGCACATTGAACTCTTGCAATGAATCCTCGTTTCTGGAGTTCTAACCAATTAGCTTCATATAACTTTGGACCAATGAGGAAGTTGAGATCTGCAATTTTATCATCTTCTCGCAGAAGGGTTGCGGTCAGCCCTAATTTACAATGAGACTGTACGATTGTGAGCACTCTTCTGAACATTTTAGCAGGGATAGTATGGACCTCTAGAATTTGTAAAAGTATGTCAATACAGAAACAGTTATGGCACTAATTCTGAAAACTATAGAAGTAGTTATGAAAGCTCCTACCATCTAGGACCATAATTCCCCACTCTTGTTCTTGCAGCCATTTCATTGTTTGTTCTGCCTCCCATGACCTTTTTTGGGTGTGAGTAATCATGGAATATGTTGTTACAAGAACGCCACAGCCCATTGGTTTGTCTTTCGCTTCAGAAGTAAAGCGACATATCATACTATCATCAGCTGTCAAAAAAATATACTTTTTTAACGTTTCATATGTTGATAATGTCATGTTTTATATAATATAGTCTTGATGAAGAAAGAGTCCTACCAGTAGACCACATTTTAAACTGCTGTTTCCATTGTTCCACAGAGACACCAGAGTTACACAATACTAGAGCTCTCTTGCGAACTGTACAGCATGCTGTGACGCCCACTAAACTTTTTCCAGCACCTAAGTGGAACAGAATTGGCAGAGTTCAGAAAATATTTTTCCAATGAATGAATTGACAGTCACACAAAGAATAGAGGAAAAAAAACTTGCCACAGGGAAGTACAATGACACCTGACCGAGCTCTTCCATTACCAAACATTTTCCTTAAACTCTTCTCTTGATAAGGCCGCAGCACTGCAGAGGGCTTCAAGTCAATGCTGTTTTTAGCAAACAGAAAAACATATCAGCGTCATTAGATATGCTATTTAAAATTAGAAGGTATAAACTGTCTGGGTAATGTGTACATACTTTATATCAGGATTAACAGTATCATTTCTAAAATCATATTCAGCCAAAAGTGGATGTTCTAGCTCTATGCATCTTTTCTGGAGAATTTCAATTTTTTCCTAAAACAAAAATTATTAGATTGCATTATAAATTAAAATTATTAGGTGGGTATGCTGCTTCGCGTGGTGAGACATTCACACCTGATTGACTTCAAAAGATACAGTTTTGAGGACAGCTTCATCCTCATCTTCTTCTTCTTTATCAATTTTATCATAAAATGTGGTGATGTCCTCTGGGACAGGTTCTCCTTCCTTCTCTTGTCCTTGTGAAGCATCAGGACCAGTAGGTTGCTGCTCACTTGAGGGACCAGCAGGTGCTGCACCACCAAACTGCAAGGACACATTCAATTATGATAATCAAATCACTTAACAATGAAATTAAATGATACTAATAAAGTCCGTCAAATTATACCTGTGGAACATTTTTCTTGTCGTTAACAGCTGTAATAAAACCATTTGCATCAACATTCTCTTCGCCTTCACCCTCTCCCTCAGCTGATCGCCTCAACCGGCATTGTTGAACAACAGGGTCTTTTAGCATTTTCTGTAATACTTCCGGAAATGGTGACTCCACAAAATATCGGTTGTGTTTTAAGACTAATTTGACCTGAAAAGAGTCTAAGATGATTCAAACAAGCCATAGGCTACAAGAGCAAATGAATTATTGTGTCCTACCTTTCCATAAGAGAGTGTGCATAGTTTGATAAATTCTATTATACCCTCAGGCACAGTAGTTTTACTTAATCGCTTCAGGTACTCTACGATATCATGTGTTTGCAGTCCAACACTAACAGCAGCATACAATGAGTAAGCAGTCAGCTTGTACTGAAGGAAAAAATAGGAACTGAGTGAAGAACAAATCCCAATGATGGAATTTCTCATTAGTTGCATATTTGATGTTAAATAAGGAGCATCACCTCATGAATGTGTTCAGGTCTGCATACAGGTTCTGATATAGCAATTAGAAAATCATGAGCATGTTTGTACACAGGTGAGAAGGATTCCAAAAATATGTGTCCATTTGGTGCCTAACATAAAGAATCAATATGCAATAAGCTAATGTTTATAGTTTCATAGAGGCATAACATTTCCAAATATTGAATTTAAGAGACCGGTTTCAATTATACTCACAACCCACAGGGGACGAGAACCATGATCCTGTTTAAGATCCATTTGAGGACGATAATCTTTAGCTCCAAACTCATCCTCCAAAACACCAGCCCCTTCTGCAGCTTCTGCATTTTTCTTTGCTGCATCTGGGACTCCATCTACAGAAAAATAATTATAGTGAACGGAAGAGCATATACAGCAAGTTTACTTCACCCGCTAAAGTGTAATTCAGTTCAATCTCATACCCCCATCCATGCCATCATTTGTATCATCATCATAATAATCATCATCATCCTCCTTCTTCCTTTTCTTCCATTTCTTACTATCTGAAAAAAAAAACACAAAAAACAAATAAAGGAAATGTACTTTATTATTGTATTCTGTGGGTTGTTTTACTGTGGTTGGAAGTGAGGCAGTATGGGTAGCTACTGATTTTCGTCAACAGACAAGATATTTTGTTTGAATTTATAGATTGTGAGTAAACGTAACAAAATAATGAAGTATTAAAATGATACTTCATGAAATGCAGAGAAAATAGTGGTTCATATGCAACGCATCACATTACGAAATACTCAAAAGTATTACACGCAGTAAGATAATCAGAACAGTTTATTAATTTAAAATAAAGTAGGCTCTACCATTGTCCTTCTTGAACTTCTTAGGCCCTGCCATGACTTATAAGACAATCACGACAAAAGATTATCAAAGGAAAGGTAGCATGTGAAGGTTTGACAAGCCAACTTTGATTGCGTTTGAAAGGAGGTTATGGTTTTATGAGCGTCATTTGTTGTTAAATGGACGACTCTCCCGCAATGACTCCGGGCAGAGAAGGCGCTCGGCATAGCGAATTTCATTTGAACAAATCTCACATTCTCTCCGAGCGGCTGATTGTGACCTCAATCGAGATTCGCGCTGCAAATGCAAACTAGGTGGATTGGGAGCGAAGGCTAGAAGTCACTTGTCTAAATCAAATCTGCGAATCGGGTCGAGAGAATCAGGACAGCCGCCCCATTCAAATGGACCCGCCTCTGCGGTGGTCGCAACCTGTTTCCTGTCACTGGCCGGGCCTATAACGTCACGTGACCGCGTGGGCCAATCACAACGCGCGCGCCCCGATACGTGGCATGAAGGCAGCGATCTCCTCCCGTTCCACGTCCGCCATTTTGACTCACAACAGCTTTCTTAAGATTGTGTTAGTAAATTGACGGGAGTTATTATCCCCTATTTTCTAAGAAGTAAGTGTCTGGGAGACGATTGATCGTCGTACAGTTCTCGGTGTGCATTCGTGGCGAATAGTTCTGAAGTTTGTGTGGTTTTTCTCAAGATATTTTGTTGGGAGGAGTCATCTTTGATATTCCATTGTCAGCCATAGGCCTATACCGGACCGGGCCGGCCCATCCTGCACTGCTGGACTTCGTCAATTCGGTGCAATATTTGCTGCTTACTATTTTGTGTAGACCTCTCACGGACGATCGCGCTGTAGAACGTTTGTCCAGCACTCCTAGTTGAGTTTGGGCTAGCTTCGGTTCTGTCAAAATCTAATTATAGGCCTCATCACTAGTATTGTTGGCATACAGGTTTGGATGAAGTGCAAGACAAAATTCTGGATACTTTAGTTTTTTAAGTTCTGTTTGAACTCTCGAAAGATTTTATTTTTTGCCTTTATGCGAATATCTAGTAAGAGTTCCTTTCAAGGTGGTGCTAGTTTCGCCCAATATGGAGCTCCACTTTTCCCCCTATCAGCTCTAAGTACTGTTATTTTGGTATATTTTCTGTACAAGTCCTCACGGATAAAAAGTCTTCTACCTAACTTTTGTTGCAAATATTAATATATGTTTGACATAAACAGCTTGGGCGTACTTTGCGTCGTACCTAACCTAAATGTCTGACGTCATGCCTGACCACTCACTACCTCGCCAGCGTATTTTTTCTCAGATTTTTCTCATGAAACTAACATTGGTCGATGGTAGTGGTCAATCTTGTGGAGAATTTTTTCTTGGTCATTTTGTCCATGTCCTTTTATGTGGCCTATATTTACTTGATGGATATCACCTTGTTGGTTGTCACTGACAGTATTGATATGTTATTTCTCTGACAATACTGAATCATTTTAAATTTTGGATGTGCACTTAGGTTTATTATTGTTTTTATTATGATCTGGTATCTTCCCCCTTTGGGTTGCTTTTGAAACATGTGTAACCTCCACTAGGTTATGTCACATAGGTATTGGTCTAATTTTTGCCATTTTGTTTGAAGTGAACTCAGTTAAATGAAGAACCTTTCATCTGATTTAAGATGCTTGATTTTGGCTGATTGCAATTTCTACCTATAGAAGATTATAATTTGGATCAATTTAAAATGCTCTTGACTCTTTGCCAAATCATGATTCACCTTCTTGCACAATCTTGTTTCTCACATTACATGTTGTGTATACTGTTTGATGACACTTAAAGCCTCTTGTATGGCAAAAGAGTTAATCAATGAAAGATGTTCAGAGTAATGATTTAACTTTACTAATTCAGGATATGTGTTTGTGTGTTTCAGGACAGATTCCTCTTTTAACCATTCACCATGGGGAATATGTTTGCAAACCTCTTTAAAGGCCTTTTTGGCAAAAAGGAGATGAGAATATTGATGGTCGGGTTGGATGCTGCTGGTAAAACCACCATTTTGTACAAACTGAAATTAGGAGAGATTGTTACTACTATTCCTACTATTGGTAAGAATCTTAAGCTGCCTCATTTTTCCTTTAACTACTACTTCATCTATTATTTTCCCCCTATAACTTATGGCAATCTGCCTTATTATTCCTTTAACTATTTTCTTTCCCCATAACTATATTTGCAATTCTTTTATATTTCAGGATTCAATGTGGAGACTGTTGAATACAAGAACATCAGCTTCACAGTGTGGGATGTGGGTGGTCAGGACAAGATCAGGCCCCTGTGGCGGCACTATTTCCAGAACACTCAAGTCAGTTTCTATTCCATTAAGATTCTTATTCTTCTGTTCTCTTTCTTAAGTTTGGATTGCTAAAGTTCATACTTTTCTTTTTTTTACTGTTTTTTAGGGATTGATATTTGTTGTGGACAGCAACGATAGAGAGAGAATTGGTGAAGCAAGGGAGGAACTCATGCGTATGCTTGCGGAAGATGAACTTCGGGATGCTGTGCTACTCATATTTGCCAACAAACAGGTAAGGTTTTCTCCACAGTTGAACTTCATTGTCACAAAGTTTTATGAGTTATCATTTCAAATTTTGTTCTACTAGGATCTGCCGAATGCAATGAATGCTGCTGAAATAACAGATAAACTGGGTCTTCACTCACTACGTAACCGCAATTGGTACATTCAAGCCACCTGTGCAACAAGCGGTGATGGCCTGTATGAGGGCCTGGACTGGCTGTCCAATCAGCTCAAGAGTGCAAATCGTTAAGTTTCTTCAGTTCACCCTCCTGACCATCAGTGGCTGCCTCATGGCAGTTTCTGCAAGAGAGATTGGGACTGTGGCCGCAAAACACATTGCTATTTATCTTTCACGGCAGGACTGTCTGTTTCCAAGAACTCTTTGGATGTTTTGCTGCGTATTATGAATCAAGTTTAACTGAGTATTTGACTGAGTGTGGTTAATTGGATGGTGGAAACAGATTCTACATCAACTTGCCATGGTTCTGGCCATGTAACAAGACTAAGTTATTGTGCTTCTCATGTGACTTGTATTTAATAAGTTGATCTAGAATCTGGGTCTGGCCTAGGTTTTTAAATAGTTTGTTACAGTATCCATTCCTAAGGAGGCATAAAGCCTGTTGTTGGCTATTTATGATTTGTTATAAGTAATTTCCTTTTAATTCACTCAGTCTATAATGTTATGGTGTATTTCTCTTTTTACGTACTCATCCCAGTGGTGAATTTTAAGGTGTGAGTGTGTGCGTCGCTTCGGATATCACATACTTTACTCCTGTAGTGGGATGTGAGTTCGACTATGTACATTGCTTGTGAAATTACTCCAGCAGTGGGATGTGAGAGTTCGTCTTTGTACATTGCTTGTGAAATTTTAATAAAATTGAAGGACTACAAAAACAAAATGCAGTAAGACATCTTTACAGCAGCCTGACCGTTACATGACTGTCTCATCATCTGTTGCTTGTGATGCTCGGATGGTCTGCTGATTTGAGGCACGAAGAATGTTTCCCCAACTCCAGTTGTGAAAGTGAGGTTCTTTTAATTTTATATAGTTTTGTCCGTGGAATCTGAAGTGCGGTTACTTGGAATCCCTGTGCTGAGTGGGGATTTTATAGTTATTTTTCATTGAATAGCTACATCTTTTTTATGAGATTTGTGCAAATTATGACTTATTTGTTTATTCTTATAATTGAAGATAGTGTATTTATCAGATTGAGGGAAAATTTGTTAAGATGGTGTGAAAGCTTTTACTGTAAAAAGTCTCATTCTTAATTGGGGCTAATTTTGTTGCTCCTTTTACACTGGCATGGGTGATGTTACAAGAACACACTATATGTGCTTGATGCTGCATTGAACTGACAAATGTGCGGTTTGTGGGAAAGTGAGCTGATATATTGCTATAGGTTTTAATGTTGGTGCCTATTACACAATTTGAAATTCACATTCCGGCTATGGTCTTTCGCTGTGTGAAATTATGACCATAAAGATTAATTATGTTGGCCAACCTGTTTCCTTTAAACGGAATTACAACTCAGAATGTACCTAATGCGTATTTGGTGTGTGAAAGAATGTGATATTACAATCCAGTATTGACCATAATCTGGACTGGAAAGCACATGCCTTCATTCATTTAAAGTGCAAATTGTTTCATATAAGTAATTTTTTTAAAATCTCCTCCCTTCAGAAGGAAATGTAAGCATACTACCAAACTTGTGAAATATATTGTACTTGTGCTTCATTCAGTGCCTTGTTTGAATAACCTGTTAATCAATCTCGTTGGTAGTTTGCCATTTTAAGACAGTTTCGTGTACCTCATTCTCTGATACAGTTTATCAAGGCTTGCCTCTATCAAAGTTTTCCTCCTGATAATTAATAGATCTTAGTATTTTTAAGTTACATTTACCTAATGCTTGTCAATATTGGACAGACTACTTCTATTCTACTTATTCTTTTGACATCTGATGACATTTGCAAGGGAAGGGAGGGGAGAGGCATTTAGTTATAATGAATTTAAAGATTTTGGACATGTTTGCTTTCTGATCAGATTTAAGAGAACATATAGTGGGCGAAGTGTGAATTTATTTGTAGGATTTTAGAGTAAGGATCTAGCTACCTTTCTTTTTCTTGGAATGTGTTCATTATTAAACAATTTGAAAGAAGCTGTGAAAAAGAAATCAAAACTTTTCTGTCGCTGCGTTTGCAGTCTGTATTCGCCCAACTCTCTTGCCCAAGCGCGTCAGGGCATCCGTCGGGTGATGCGATTGTAGGTTGCGGCGGCGTGAGACGTCACAACCGCAGCTCTTGACTCAAACAACGCAGGGCGGCTCGGCTCGTGCTCGGGCCTCACTGGTCCTGGCGCGCCACCACGGCGAGGTAGCAGAAGGCGCCGCAGCGCGGCACGGGCTGAGCAGCGAAGAACTCGCCGCCGTCGGGGGAGTACTCGTACGGGGGCGGGCGATCGTGGCCGGAGCCGCCCCCGCCCTGCTGCGCCGCCCCCGCCGCCGCCTCCGTCGCGCCCTGGCCGCCCCGCAGGTCGTACGCCTCGCCGGGCTGCGCACACAGCACGCCCGCGTTGCACATTATACATTGCTCATGCACCGCTGGGCCCGCTGCGCCTAAAGGCCGCGCCTGGCCTGCACGGGCCTTGCGAGGGTCAGTCACTCGGCCCGGTCCGGCCCGGTCCGCCCCGCCGCGGTGAGTCAGCTCAGAGTCCAACGACGCGCCCCCGCGGCCCACGGCCATTTGCATTCCCCCTCGACCCACTTAGCTTGTGCGAACTGTGTCGGACTCGCTAATGCCAAATTTAGTCGGAATTGAGTCGCGTTTGTCGGGTCCGAGCGGGAAGACAAACAACACCGCGGACGGGGCGGCCGGTGCCCGGCCACGTGCCACATCGTACACGTGGCATGGTGCCAGGGTGGCGTAGCCGACCCGGGGTCTGGGGTTGAGCAGCAAGCTACCCTCGGCCGCGACCATCGCCAGGGCAGAGGCAGACCGCCGGCTCAGCGCGAGCGCTTCCTGCGCAGCAAATTCGGACTTCGCCGCAGTGCGGTGTAACGCAGTTAGGCCCGGCCGGCCGGCCAGGCACTCGACCATCCGAAAACAAGTCAGTGAAAACTGTACTTATCATAAACACGCCCACTCATATGCCGCGCGCTGGCAGCGGCGCATGTCGCTGTCGTCGCCGCTAGCGGGTGATGCGGAGTTTACACCCCGAGTGAGGCGAGGGCGAACAACACTAGGTCTTCCCTCCCACTCCCCTCGGCCCGCCTCGGCCTGGCGCCACCCGGTCCCGCGGTGGCGCACTGGCCACTACCGTGCGTGTGCACCGTGTGTACGGTACGGTACACGCTCGCTGCCCCGCCGCTTTCCCAATAACATTCCACCCGTAGAGCAAAGCATCGCTGCAGAAGCAACCCGCACTCATCCTAGGCTGTACACGGAACTGCACTCGAAAATATTGCGGGAAGACTGCGGCAAATTCTGTAGCGTATCGGGCGTTTCTCAGCATGACGCGCGCCACGCACGCCAGGGGCGGATTGATTTGCCTTACTCACAGGGGCCACGGCACCGAACAGGCAGAGGGATTATAGGCAAACCCATCCGCACAGGTGCGTGCAAAGAAACACCCGACTCAGATATGGCAGGATGTTTCATCACTCTCTCCTTCCATTCGGATCGGATGACGTGGGATTGCGCGGCTCGTTTGTCTGATTGGGAGTGACCATAGGAATGACTCAGTTCACTGGCGCGGTGGGCAGGATGCTGCTCGAGTGGTACGCGGGATCGCCCAGAAAGTACGTCCGTTGTTCTCGGATGCACGACTTTACACGTTCGACAAATTGCGAGAGCCCGGCGCCTGCGAGTCTTGGGGTAGGCCAGCCTGCAGTACACGCTTGCACACCAGGCAAGAGATTGCCTACCCATCAGGCGCTATGGGAGCTTGCAAAGGCTTAACTTGTTAGTTTCGCTCCGTCGTACGAAGGGCGCTTTTCCTGGGTGATTCATATTGCCAACGGATGCGCAGGAGAGCCGCGAGTGTGTCGGCTGTTCTGCACACGACCCTCAGGCGCCTGAGCGCGGCCAAACCCGGACGATCGCGCGGCCTCAGCCCCATCGGGCCCATCCGCCGATAAGGATGTTGTATACTGCGCCGCAGACGCCCCCAAGACTGGGTGATGCCGCGCGGCCCGCGCGGCGTCAGCTCGTTAATACAAGGACGCCGATTAGCATAAGAATCAGCGCGCCATACGGCATACGGGGTGAGAGATCCAAGAGATGGCTGTCGTGGTGGTTGGTGGTGGTGGTGGTGGTGGTGCAGGTGGTTCTCTTTCCCAACGGGAGCCGCGAGCGCTCAGGGTATGTGGGCTCCAAGCCAGCGCGTGCCCTGACCCCCAGCCCCAGCTGCGGGGCCCGCAGCCCGCAGCGGCAGTCCCGTGGCGGTGGCGCGGCACTGCGCGGGGCGCGGGACCCCGCGCTGTGGCACCCCGCCCGCGGTTCTCTCCCGCGGCCCCGCGGTCTGGCACTGCGCTGCGCGGCGTGGCGAGGCGTGGCGGCGCGCGCAATCTCGCTCGCGCCCGCCAAATCGCGACTCGCGGTCCACCTCCTGGTGCGGCTGCGGCCCTGTTCCGCTCCCCCACTGGTGACGAAGCACTCCCGTCGTTCTGACACGAAATGTCCCCCATGCCACCACCTGCCCGGCACCGAGGCCGTGGCAGAAGTGACACCAGACAATGTGCCGCGGGCCGGGTCGGCGCTGCCGTGACCGCCCTGGCCCCGCGGAGTGCCTGGCCCCGGCCCGAGGCCCGGCCCTCCCTTTGCCCTGCAGCCCTAGCGCGCCCCTGCCCGGGCCACCCTACCGCCCTACCGCTTTGCTGCAAAGGCAGCGAGGTTGGCAGCCATCCGCGGGTGGGAGGCCGGGGCCGGGACGAAGCGGCTGGCTTTAGGGAGATCTAGGCCCTGACCTTTGAGGAGCGGAGCAGAGCGGGCGCATGTAAACTCCTCGGCCCACGTGGCTTCTTTCGCGGCCGCCAGATGTCGCCACGCCACGGTGCTACGCCGAGAGCCCCCCCGCACCCGCACCACCCACGTGTCGTCAGAGGCTGCCCCGGTCTCGGTCGGCACTGTATTGGGAGGAGGAAGCGATCGGCCAGACCAGGAGGTGCTGCAGGCTGGGCAGCGGCGCGGCGGGCGGCTCGGTGTCGAAGGGCGGCCGCAGCTGCCCCTCCTGCAGGCTCAGCACCAGGAAGTAGGCGAACATGTTCCGCAGCTGGAGCTCCTCCATCGACGTGCCGGAGGTGGACAGCTTTTGCAGCCACTCGGTGGCGAGCTGTCTTTCTGGGGGAGGGGCCGGTGGGGTGCACACACCGCGTTAGAGTGACGACGGCGTCGACGACATAGTGCTAAAGGGCCGGCCGAGCGCTACCTTGGGGCAGGCCCAACTTGCTGATGAGCGTCTTGGCCAGGACCATGTTGAAGTTAAAGTCATAGTTCAAGGTCTGCTCCGTGTCCACGCGATCGTCGCCTTCCATCACAAGGGAGAAGTGGGGGAGAAATGTGTCAAAAACTACTGCAAATGTAATAATGGGAGTGGGGCGCTAGTTACCATGGCGTTGGCGTGAACACTCGCTCGTGCTGTCCGCCTCACACAAGAGCACATTCATCCAAGGGGCGACGGCATGTCGCACCTCCTACCCGCATGCCAATCACACAAACACGATCGCTCGGGCTCCCTACTGCCGCCCAGTCCAGTGCCCACGCGACCAGGCACACGGCGGACACGGCCACTGGCTGTAGCGCCTGCGGACGAGAGAGTAGGCAACCCATCGCACACCCGTGTCTGAGGTTGCGTGCCGCCACGGGCGCCAAGCGATGGAGGCAGGGAGGACGGCGAGCGCCGTATGCGCAGGATACGTTGGTCCACCCGCAACTCCCCCCCTCCCCCCTCCCCACGCTCCCTCTTGGATAATTGCCTCCGGCAATTGAATCAGGGTTCAGGTGCCAGTGGGAGCAGGCGGCCCTAAAGCCCCCCCCCCCCCTTTACCTCCGTGGAATCGCATCATTCACGCGCAGAGCTTGACCGGCGGGAGACACAGGAGGAAGCGTGGCAGCTGCGAAGGCGAGGCGAGGCGAGATGTTCTCGAGATAAGCCGGCCTGGACAGGAGGTGTCACCCGCGCGCGGTCCAGTCCGTCAGTCAGCTCCGAGAGCAGCGCGCGGGGGTCTTGCGTCTTACCGAGCACCACCTCTCCTCCTCGGCGCACCTCTGCTCGGCCTGGACACCGAGCTGCCGGTCTGGACCTCGACGACGGTGCGCGGTGCGGATCCGACGGAGCGACCACCACGAGCGTGGCCAACATGATGCGGGCCAGGGCGGGGCACCCTGCCCTGGCGGCAGGTGGTCTGCTGCTGCTGGCTCTGGCCGCGGCCACCCCCACCGCCCGGGGTTGCGACTGTGAGTACCCACCCCCACCCGCGGAGGTATCATCCCTCGGCGGAGACGCTACCCCAACGCGAGGAAACGCAATTCGAAAGTTTTCTGATTTCCCAATCGTGCGCAAGGTGTGAGGTACGCTGTAACAAATGCAAAGAGGGTGTTCCCCAGTGAGATATTAAGTGCAATTTTTATAGTTAATGATACAATTTACGATATTCAATATCGGAAGGTTATCGTTATCAAAAACTCTTGCTCACTGGGTCGTGTTCGTGATTTTAGACGTGTTTTTTTTTCGAGGTAGGCAAGCCTTAAAGCCGGTCTCGTAGCTCGCCTAGGAGGTTTAAATTTGCGGTACCCCAATATCCTTAGATGTTCGTGGTCGAAAAGACAACCCCACCAGGCTTAGAACACCCACCCTGTAGTCATTATAGGCCAGCGAGCAGGTCAGGCTTCGCTGGGCAGCACGCTCGGTAGGCAAGCCCGCTTAGCATCTGGGTGGAGCAAGTAGCCCGCCCTGAACGCCTGAAGTACTACTACGAGGGCCCTGATCGGGCGAGGGGGCGTTTGACGACTATAGGGTCCAACGTTCCGTCGCGGAACCTCGGGGATCGTTCTATCGGTGGGTCACCCCTGACTACTCTTTTCCCCCGGGGCCTTTACAGGGGGAAGTTATTCAGCGAGGTCGAGCAGGTGGTTGAGTTCGACGCCACCCTCCACCGCCGCTGCATCACGTGACTCATCAAATACATCGATTATCGGCATCGATAATGTGTCGCCTCCCGACCGGCGACACAGGCGTGCTTGTATCGTTACCCATTTCCCGTCTGTGGGCGCTTTGCATAACTACATCTCTGGTCGCGAATTGAATGCAATCGCTGCCAAGAGACTACACCCAGACAGCATCAATAGCAGTAATTTATTATCTGTCCGGGATGGCCCGCCGCGTGTGTTATTTCCAGGAACAGCAGCTTCAGCCCTCTGGAAAACAGTAGATTGACACGACTTCAGCTTCGCGTGACATTAAAAAATTACGGCTACACGGTAAAAAGTCGGGCTTCTGCATAGTGATTAGGCAAGACATGTCGTATGTATACGATCGGGATATTGATGGACGGCTTACACATTATACCCGGAAAAACATGGTTGCCACAACTCTGGAAAACCTTGAAAACCTGGAAAACTCAGGGAAATAAAAAACTGTCAGGGAAATCAGGGAAAACTCAGGGAAAATGAAAAAAAGTCTGGGAAATTTGGTCTGACTGGTCCCCAAACTGCAAACTATTCGCTGTTTAGGTCAAATACACATTTTGACGTCCCAGTAGGGTGTTTTGTCCCCAAAGTTTTCGCGCTCGCTTCGCTCGCGGTCTTGTATTACAGTTAAGGGCATTTGTTTGCCCCAGTATTTCACCAGGAACTGTGCCTAAAACTCAGGGAAATTTGGGGAGAAACGGTCTGGAAATCAGGGAAAACTCAGGGAAAATGGAAATGAAAATTTTGTGGCAACCATGAAAAAGATCATGTTGGAGGGAACGGATAATAGTCTGGATGTTTCCGAGTTCATTCGTTTTTATTCTGTTTATTTTTATTCTGTACCACAGAAAAATAAGGACTAGGACTAGACCTCGGTGTCGGATGGGTCGGTTGACACTCGCAGGTGATGGGAGGCGACACCGTGACCGCGGCTGGCTCAACCGCACGGTTCTCACGCCGCGCTTGTGATCTCGTCACACAGGCGCCCATCCGCGTCCGGCCAACCTGCTGTTAGGCCCGCCGAGCCGCCCGCGAACCACTCACAAACCGAATCCTACAAAATAAGGAGCAAAAAGGACCCGAGGAGAGGCGGGCTGGCGAGTTGCTCACCGCGGTCCGAGGAGGGAAATAAACGAAATAAAAACAACAAAAACGGGCAGCAGCCTGCGTGGAAAACAATCTCGTGAAGGCCGCGCGGCCATCTCAAAGTAATTGTACGAAACAAATCGCAGATCTGATGCTGCTCTCCTGCTGCTGCTGCCCGGAGGTAAAAATAAAGAGAAAAATAATTCCAAGTTGTTGCGGAGAACGCAAAGTGTTGTCGTCCCCCGCCGGGCGCCTTACCGAGGGAGCGCAATCAATCACAGGTGTGTTAGCGTCAGCGCGGCGGCCTACGGCGGCGAGGTCAAGGGCGGGGCCGGAGTCGGCCGGAGGAGCGCGGGTTCAAATCCGTAGAGGTGTTACATTTTTTTGTGTGTTGTGTTACATGGTCCTGCGAAAGGCAAAGGAGCGTCTCAGCCGCCCGCGAACTCGCTGCAGCGGCCAGCTCGCGGCGGCGGCGCGTCCACCCTGGACGACGTCCTGACGCCCCAGCTCGTGCAGAGCTACCTGGCGCTGCAGCTGCACCGCGCGGCGCTGGACCTCACCCAGGACTTGTCTCGCAGCAACAACGGTGGCTGCCCGCCCCAGGGCTCGCCCCTGGGCCCCTGCCGCGGCCCGGACACCCCGCTGCGCCGCACCCGACGCTTCACTAACAACAAGAAGGGCAGCCCCGACGTTCCGGTGGTGTCCGGGTTCGCGGGGCTAGGGCTGCCGTCCGCCGCTCCCCTCGTGGCGCTGCACAAGAACGACGAGCCCAACGACGTGCCCGTGTTTAGGGGCAACCACGAGGGTACACCTCTGATCCACGTGGTCACGCCACCACCCGCGGCCGCGGCCGCGGCGCGCAGCGCGGGCTCCACCACCGCGCCCAGCGTGCCCGTCGTCAAGGGCTCCGCCGACCCGGCGCACCCCACCACGCCCAGAGTGTCGTCGCTGCTGCCCGGCGACCTGCAGCTCACCCCCGAGGAGGAGGAGGCTCTGGCCGTGCTCCTGGAGGGCCGTCACGGCGGCAAGAAGCCCACCCCCGCGCCCCTCCCACTGCGACCGCGACCTACACTGCGCCCTGCCTTGCGCCCCACCAGGCCCCCCGTCCCCGTGGCCACAAGTGTCAGCGGAAAGGTAAGTTGTATCAACCCCGGCGGAGTTCTCATCTGCACCCCAGCCTGGGGACAATCCAGAATGTGCGTCCGTCTTTCGCCGTTACGAAACCGATTGTTTTAGTTTCAAAATGGTTCCATTGAAGTCTGAATACAGTTACATTTGAATTTTTACACTGTATGGTTGGCCGTTGCCTATATGCCTGACGGTGTTTGCTTATTAACTATTTGAATGCGGTTGAAGAGGTGTGCGGTGATATAGACGAAAAGTGTAATTGTTTGTTAGTACAAAGGCCAGGGAAAAATTAAATCTGCCTCTTTTGCAAGCGCTCATGGCGCCTGATGGGTAGGCAACATCGTGCCTTCAGTGCATGCGTGTTCTGCGGGGTGGCCTACCCCGAGTCTCGCAGGCGCCCGGTTCCCATGAATTGGATGAACGAATATGAGAAAAACGGACGTACTTTCAGGACGATCCCTAATTTC